GCTGAAATTTTGGACAAATATTCTCTATTGATACGGTTTGTTTGGTATTGAAAACGGTCCACGATTTCATCGAAATTCGATAAACCAAAAACTCTCTACCAAATTGTGTGAAGAACGAACCATAATTGATCCCTAGCCATCATATAACTCCTCTTGCAGTAAATCAGTTTATTGAAAATATTATTTATTATTTCAAATTCTGTTGTGCCCAGTCCATAAATGACTCAATCCTCATTAAATCCTCTAAGACCAAATATAGGAAATGGCTCAACTATACAAAAAAGTCACCATGGAACTGCTAAAAGTTAGAAAAAATAAATTACACTATTCTAAGTACATGAAAGCATTCCCTATCAAAGTCAAAAAGAATCTATAAAATCAAGACATAATTTTTTTGTATCCAATTTGTATTTATTCACATTTTATAATTTTACTTACCAGATGTTTCCAAAATAACTTGCAAGTACTTTAAATAAAAATCGTACTTGTTATTGCAACAAAAACAAAGTACAAGTAAAATTTTAACTACAATTACTAGCACGTTATCTAGAAACATCTAGTTAATCTTTTTTATCTTTACTTATTTTTTATAAAAATTTATAATTTTTTCTCAAAACTCAATTTATAACTTAATCAATCAATCAACATAATTGTTTTAGCAACAAAAAAAAAAATCATAATAATAACTAGTTAACTTTGTTTAACAGTTTAATACTCATAATCTCCATCTTCGCCAGCTTGGGCGGCATCATCAGTACCGACTTCTTCGAAATCTCGCTCGAGAGCAGCAAGATCTTCGCGGGCTTCTGTAAATTCACCTTCCTCCATACCCTCACCGACATACCAATGGACGAAGGCACGTTTCTTAAACATCAAGTCAAATTTATAGCACAAATTACTGAACGCCACTGCTATGGCGGTGGTATTCGATAACATACAAACGGCACGAGAAGTTTTGGCTAGATCGCCGTCGGGTACAAATGCTGGTTTCTCATAATTAATACCGATTTTAAAGCCTGTTGGACACCAATCGACAAACTGAATGTGTCGTTTCGATTTGATGGCCGAGACGGCGGCGTTGACATCTTTGGGAACAACGTCACCACGATACAACATGCAGCAGGCCATGTATTTGCCAGCGCGCGGATCACACTTTACCATCATATTGCCCGATTCGAAACAAGCATTTGTTAGGGAGGTAATGGCATGCTGTTCATGGGACGCTCGAGCGGCTGAGACCAGCGGAGCATAAGCCACCAGTGGGAAGTGAATACGAGGAAATGGTACCAAATTCGTTTGGAACTCATTCAAATCCACATTCATGGAACCACTAAAACGCAGAGAAGCTGTTGTGGAGCTAACGATTTGTGCAATTAAACGATTCAAGTTCCGATAGTCTGGACGATCTACATTCAAACTATTTTTACAAATTTCATAAATAGCTTCATTGTCCACCATAAACACACAATCCGAATGCTCCAATGTAGAGTGAGTGGTGAGTAGAGCATTGTAGGGTTCCACAACAGCTGTCGACACTTTGGGCGAAGGATAAACGGCAAAATCCAATTTACATTTCTTGCTAAAATCCATTGACAAACGTTCCATTAGCAAAGAGGTAAAACCCGATCCTGTGCCACCACCCAAACTGTGAAATATTAAGAAGCCCTGGAGACCATCACATTGTTCGGCAATTTTCTGTATGCGTGTAGTTACATTATCGATCACTTCCTTGCCAATGGAGTAGTGACCACGGGCATAATTATTGGCCGCATCCTCTTTGCCCGATATTAGCTGTTCGGGATGGTAAAGACTACGCATGGGACCATTACGTACATCATCAATTACTGTCGGTTCCAAATCTACGAAAATTGATCGTGGTACTTGTTTGCCTGAACCGGTTTCGGCAAAAAACGTACGCGCATCATTTGTGGCATTCGATGTACCTTCATTGCCCACTGTACCGGCACTACTGCCGCTGGCCAACATTTCCTCTTTGGTTTTGACAGAACCATCCGGTTTGATGCCATGTTCAAGTAAATATAATTCCCAGCAGGCGTTGCCGATTTGAATGCCACCCTGACCAATTTGAATAGAGATAACTTCACGCTAAAAAGAAAGAATATGTGAAATGGGTTTCAAATTAGTTTTAATGTGTTTGGAGGCGGTAATAAATGGAGAAAAATAGAATAGTAATTTACAAGAACATTTTGGTTTATTGATTTTTTATATCCACCGACTATAAACCCACAAAATTATATACATATGTAGGTACATACGTATATTATGGGTAATTATTAGATTCTAAGACGACATAGCTATTTCCGTCCTTCTGTCTGTCGAAATCATATTAGGGCAGTATTTGGCATTAAAATGGGAGAAATCAGCCCTCATTGGACAAAGCTCCTTTCAGTTTAATGAATTTAACTTTTGTAACTGAATTAAAAATACTAGTAGAGTGATGAAATGAAAATGAACAAAAGCTTGTCTAGTCTTGACTATAGACTAGACTATAGACTAAACTATAGACTAGATTATAGACTAGACTATAGACTAGATTATAGACTAGACTATAGACTAGACTATAGACTAGACTATAGACTAGACTAGACTATAGACTAAACTATAGGCTAGACTATAGACTAGACTATAGGCTAGATTATAGACTAGACTATAGACTAGACTATAGACTAGACTATAGACTGCACTATAGACTACACTATAGACTAGACTATAGACTAGACTATAGACTAGACTATAGACTAGATTATAGACTAGATTGTAGACTAGACTATAGACTAGACTATAGACTAAACTATAGACTAGATTATAGACTAGACTATAGACTAGACTATAGACTAGACTATAGGCTAGACTATAGACTAGACTATAGACTAGACTATAGACTAGACTGTAGACTAGACTATAGACTAGACCATAGACTAGACTATAGACTAGACTATAGACTAGACTATAGACTAGACTATGGACTAGACTATAGAGTAGACTATAGAGTAGACTATAGACTAGATTATAGACTAGATTATAGACTAGATTATAGACTAAATTATAAACTGGACTATAGACTAGATTATAGACTAGACTATAGACTAGATTATAAACTAGACTATAGACCAGACTATACACTAGTCTTGTCTAGTCAGCAGTCTAGTCTATAATCTAGTCTGTAGTCTAGCGGGAAATTAGTTTAGTACTTTAAAACCTAAAAAAGTCTCTTTTTGTAATATGTTAGAACTATTTCAGAATTAAAATTTTCCATGCCTGATAAAAATACCTAAATTCCTAAAACGGGGAAAATATATTCCAAAACTTGAATCTTTTGTTAAAGTTGCACACAGAGATGTTTTTCAAAGTTGTGATATATGTATAAGACTTAAATTTTCTTTTTCAAAATTGGCAAAGTTTGAATGAATATATCAAACGTTTTTGTGTTATATTTTCTTTCTTATTCATATACCTGGCCCCGAAGAAATTTCTTTCTTAAAAAAGATATTTGTGCAAAAGAAAAACGTGAACGGGGCTGTTTTTACATGTTTCAACTTTGGAAGATTATAAATTTTATTATGCACAAGATTGTTGTTAGCAAAACGTTTATGACAAATAGATCTAGATTTAAAATTTTTTATTCTCATTGAATTTTTGTGTTTTAATAAAAATAATAGACCCAAGGTGACCGTTTTTGGAGGCCAACTACGACGCCGAACAACCGTAAATTAAATCAAAAACACCTCAGTTCCGATCATGTACAATTTTGTTACAAAATCTTCAATAGTTCACGAGATACTGAATTATTTCCAAAATAAAATGTTTCCAAACCACAGAGTATCGATAAAAGATCTTTAAATTTATATCTCTCAAGCGGTCTTTTTCTATACTTAAATATTTTTTTAATTATTTAATTTGTATTATTACACTATTTTTGCAGTAGTTAAACGCCATTTTAATAACGAATAAGTTAAAATGAATAACTCCGTCTCACTGAAGCAACAAAATAAGATCACACACTCACTGCAGATGTTTAGAAAGATCACAAAATTGCAAAAAGGGAAACCAGTTTTTTTGCAACCCTTAATAATTTCTTATTTAAATATATAACCTCAAATGTCCTTGGAACAAAGAAATGTTACTTACCATTTTGTCTTAAGATATTTAGTAGTAGTTGTAGTACGAAAAGATCCTTATTTTACTTAAATTATGTAGAAATTTCTTTTTAATTTATACGATCACTTTTTAACGATCGCTGAGGATTCTTTTTGTTTATTTAAATTAAAAAAAAACTATAACAAACTGAAGTAGTACTAAGCGCCGAAGTTGAAATAATTGCCGAACAGCTATGAAAATGATGTGGTCGAAGATGATGATGATGACGATGAATGATGGTGATCACTAGCGTAGCGCAAGTATTCAGTACTAAAAAAAAGTCCTGTTATATTTTGCAGTAGTGATGATCGATTATGTTGGTGGTGTGTTTTTCTAATCTATTACAAATTATTTTAGTACTAGATTTTAAATAATGTTGCCAGCTTCAAAATTTTTATATATTTTTTTCATATTTATTGTTATTTCTAAAGTTTATTACAATTTTTTCTTGGAATTTTAATTTTTTAATGTTTTTTTATTTCGCCTTAATATTTTTTAATAGATCTAATTAATAAATGTTGTAGGTAGTAATTTTTTTAAATTTAATTGATAATACTTTAAGGCATGATTGTTAGAGTAAAGAAATGACAAACGATCCATTCTTTAATGACAATTGAAGCAAGCCTCCCCTCTCTATTGCATACTTGAGCATAGCATTTCTTAATGTATGTAGGTGTTTTTATTTTGCGAAATACATAAATTAAATTTACGAAATAATAACGAATTTAAAAAATTAATAATTAATTGAAAATAAAGCATTATAAACTTTAAAGTACTGTAAAAACAGGAAATTTTACATAACAAAATGAAAGTTGGCACCAGTGTAGACTAGTGTACCCTGATTGCACAAGGCTTCAACTTGAAGTCTCGATTATGGGATTTATAATCACCATTAATCCCTTATATGCTAAGCGATATAATATACATACTAATCTAAAGACTAGACAATAGGCTATAGACTAGATAACAGACTAGATAAGATACTACTCTATAGACTAGAGAGTCTATAGACTAGTTTATTGTCTAGTCATTAGATTAGTAAACTATATAGACTAGATCGTAGATTAGACTAGAGACTAAATGATAACAGGCTAGTTTATAGACTAGTCAAGAAGAATCTAATGACTAGACTCTTCTCTAGTCTATAGAGTAGTCTCTTGTCTAGTCTATAGACTAGCCTGTAATTTAGTCTATAGACTAGACTCTTGTATGGCCTATAGAGCTGGCTCTTGTCTAGTCTTTAGACTAGCATTTTATCTAGTCTACAGAATAGACTCTTGTCTAACGTATATAACTGTCTCTTGTCTGGACTAGTCCATAGACTTCACTAATCTAATGACTAGACACTATACTAGTCTACAGACAAGATAATAGACTAGCCTCTTGTTTAGTCTATAGAGTAGTCTATTCTCTATAGAGTAGTCTCTATTGACTAGATAATATTCTAGTCTATAGATTAGATAAGAGACTAGTCTATAGACTAGATAACAGATTAGTCTATACACAACACCAGAGGTCTAGTCAGAGGTCAGAGAAGATGTCAATCCACTATCTAGTTTATTGTCTAGTCATTAGATTAGTAAAGTCTATAGACTAGACATGAGACAATTCTATAGGCTAGACAATAGACTAGATAACAGGTTAGTCTACAGACTAGTCTATTGTCTAGTCATTAGATTAGTAAAGTCTATAGACTAGTCCATAGACTAGACATGAGACAATTCTATAGGCTAGATAATATACTAGATAACTGGTTAGTTTACAGACTAGATAAAAGACTACTCTATAGTCTAGTCTGTCATCTAGTCTATAGACTAGACAAGAGACAATTCTATAGACTAGACAATAGGCTAGCCTATATAATAGATAACAGGCTATTCTATACTAGATAACAGACTAGTCAGTAGACTAGACAAGAGACTATTAAATAGACTTGAGAAGAGACTAGCCTGTTATCTAGTCTATTGTTTAGTCATTATATTAATAAAGTCTATAGATTAGTCCATATACTATAAAAGATACAATTCTGTAGAACGGACAAGAGACTAGTCTATAGACCACTCAAAAGACACAAAATTTCTGAGACCAGATTCGGATTTAACTCAGCAGGAGTTAACTTTGGTCTCTGGGTTTCGACTTTTTTTAATTGCTATTTGTAGTTGGTCGCAAATTGTTTAATTTCACATACATATCTAGAATTTTGTCACAAATAGAGATGTATATGTATATATTTTTGTCAAAATAGGTCTTTAAAACACTAATAATCAGTTCTAGTTCATAGGTTATAGATTCATAAAGTTATCAACAGTTTAATTTAAGATTATTGTACATTCTTAGCATACAAAATTTCTGTTAAAAACCATCAATAACTCTATCAATAGTTTTGGAATAATGAAAATAGAAGTGAAAATTACTCTAGGTTATTGTGCCAAATTTGTTATTGTGCTTTAGAGTATAATAATTTTTGTCCTTTTAAACTATTCGTAAAAACAAAATAAACAAAAATAAAACAATTGCACAATTACATAAATGCAATAAAATAAAAGAAAATATTTTGTGTGAAAATAATAAAAACTTTTATTTTCTGCGCAAAAAAAGGAATACATATTAAAAACAAAAAAATATGTACGTGTTTTAAAACAACGAAATTATAATAAAAAAATTTGTACAAAAATATATTTAATATCATTACAAAAACATAAAAACGCGTATATAAAAACTATATATACAAATAAAACTAAAAAAAACATGACTAATATAATCCACCTGTGTTTGTTCATTGCTTAATTCGATTAATTTTACTCATCCTTACGACAACCGGGCGGTAACGTTACATCAAAAACAATAGGAGGATTATTGGGTAAATAATTAATATCGCACGTTGATGCATTCACATAGATCACCCGGCCATCTGAGGTTATACCATAACCTTCGTGGACATGACCAAATACATGATATTTGGGTTTAACACGTTTCTGTATGGTTGTCAATAGTTCTACACAACCGGCACGTACACCCGAACAGCATAGATCACCATGCCCCACGGGTGGTGTATGCGTAACTAAAATATCAATATCTGATGGTATTTGATTCCATTTCTCTAGACATGGTAAACCACGCGGTACATTAAAAGCCCATTTACAAAATTCCGGTTGCCAGGGACTGCCATATATACGTATACCCCAAATTTCTATGAGTTCATCTTCGATATAGGTACAATTGGTTAAAACATCTCGAATGTTGGGAGTTTGAACGGCATCTACAATATTTTCTTTGGCATTGCCTAGCGTGGGCAGGTCATCAAGTATGGACATACCAGTGTGTTTAGTTCTAGGAAGAGAGATGGTTAAAGGAATAAAAGAACTTATAGTTTTCTATAGAAAAATTTATATTTTAGCATTTAAAAAATATATTCAATAGAAATAATAGAGACTAGACTAGCTAGAGACTTTACACTTTAGACTATACTATAGACTAGATTATAGACTGGACTATAGACTGGACTATAGACTAGACTATAGACTCGTCTATAGACTTTGCTATAGATTATAGGGTAGACCATAGTAGAAATATACTATGGGATAGACCATAGGCTAGACCATAGGCTAGACTATATACTAGACTATAGAAGAGACTAGACTATAGACTAAAATAGACTATAGCCTAGTCTATAGGCTAGACTATAGAATATACTATAAACTACACTTAAGACATTTCCATTTCATTTAAGTTATGTTGTTAACAAGAAATAGGTATTTCCCATGTTCCTACTTAAGGATTTTATCTTCTTATAATAAAGTAGGTATTATTTAGTATTTAAAACATACCTTTCATTACTATTTCGATTTTGAAATGGATGGGTAAATGTCGAATCAAAACTCAATTCATGATTTCCGGCAATAACAATTTTGTGTTTATGCGGCAGAGTACTAATCCAGTTATTAAATTCTATAACTTCCTCTAACTGGCCACATTTGGTAAAATCTCCGGCATGTATAAAAATATCACCATCCGGTATATCAAACTTAATGTAGGGGGTCAATGAGTGCGTATCACTCATGCACACAACGCGCGCCTTATTAAAAGCCACTCCTGTTTGAGGTGGTTTCATGGTAACTTTTATGACACGTTGAGTTTTAGAGATCTCCTTCCAAGCGGAGGTGGGATCACTAGTTAAAGGATGAATAGGTATTTCCATGGTGCTGATGCTAGTTAATAATTTCAGCTATAATAACCAAAAAAATAAGTTTTTACAGAATTATGTAAAAAACAAAAAAACAGCGACAAACCTTTGGCTAACGCAGCCCCTTTTTTGATTGTAAGTGCCCTTTGGTAGTGTTATTTTTAGGTAAATATAAGAAATTGTTTTTGTTTACGTTTCGAAATATTTTTGTTAATCAGCCATACTTTGTTTTGATAAGACAATATTGCACAGTTTCTTAAAAAATGTTTAATTTTATCAATTAAAAGCACTGTTTTTGCAAAAAATATGACGTCGTCTTGGAGTTATCGAAAAAATGCTATTGAATGGGGTAACCATATCGAATTTATTTGCAGGAATATAGCAATTGTAATGTTATCGAAAGGAAACTAAGTTCTTAAGTGTAATACAATTATTTTATTATTAGGGATCTTTATAGATAAGAAAATAATAAGATAATTGTTATAAACAATACAAATTTTTAATAATATTTAAGTTTTTTGTTAAAATAAACAAACGTAGTTTTTTTCAAATTTTGTCAACCATACATACATATGTTTGTTGATAACAAATCATATATCGATAACTTTGGCTTACACATCAAAACAAAGCAAAAAAGGGAATGAATTAAAGAGCGGGAGAGAGATAATGCAAAAAACGTGCTACCATTGTTGGGCAATTAAGTTGCAATAAAGGTATAGAAAGTGTTGTATTTTGTTTTTTAGTACTTTTTGACATTAACGCGATGTATTAAGTACATATTTACGTTTGTATGTATCTATCCATGTATTTGTCATTCCGCTTGTAATTTCTACAATATAAATTTCCAACCCTAAATATTATATGATCAAAATTCCGAAACAACCGATGAAAATATTTGGTTTTTCTCATTCTTTATAAGTTTTTGTTCTTGCCAGAAGTCTTTTCCTCCGTCCAGGGATTAACATGATTGAAAATTATTAGAATCGCTTCAAAATTTCATATCGTAAATGACTCATGTATTAATAATCAATATCGTAAATGACCCATGTATTAATAATGAATATCGGGATAAGATTTTTCTCGAATGTGGTTGGTATAAATACAATTCATTTTGTGAAATTATTTCCGGAACGGTCTACAATTGGTCATGTCTCTTATGCTCTCTCTGAAATTCTCTTAATCGATATTAACTCATTGCTTACTAATGATATCGGGATAAAATTCTACATGAATATGTTTTATATACCAACATATACATATATACAAATATATACAAATGTTTTGGGGTTGGTCAATAATTGACCATAGCTCCCATATAAAGTCCACTTCCGAAAATCACTTAATTGTAAATTACTCATTAATTAAAATTAAAATAATATGTGGATACAATTCAACACGAATATGTTTTGTATACATATATGCCTAACATTCTTTCATAATATTTTCGGATCGGTTTATTACATGTTTATAACGTGTATTTCGCATGTGTTTACTACACATATGTCAAAACAGAACTGACATTAGGAGCCACACAAAATTTATAGCATTTTCTGATAGGAGGATTACTTTTGCGCCACCTGTTATTAGTACATAGGATTAGGGTTCTATAAATCGACTTTCGAATAATCGAACAATCGACTTTTTGTCGAAAAAAGTCGAAAAGTCGAAGTCGACTATTTTGTTCCAAAAAAGTCGATAACTCGACTATCGTCTGTGAAAAAAGTCTAAAAGTCGACTTTGTTAATAAAAGTCGAAAAGTCGAAAAAAGCCGATAAGTCGAAAAAAGTCGAAAAGTCGAAGAAAGTCGAAAAGTCGGAAAAAGTCGAAAAAATTTGGAAAAAGTCGAAAACTCAAAAATAGTAGAAAAAAGTCAAAAATAGTCGAAAATTTTAAAAAAGTGGAAAATAAAGTCAAAAACTCTAAAATAGTCGAAAAAACTCGAAAAAAGTCAAAAAATAGTCGAAAAAAATCGAAAGAAGTCGAAAAGTCGGAAAAAGTCGACTATTTATAAAATACTTATAGTCGAAAAGTCTAAAAGTCGACTTTTAATTAAATGAAAAAAGTCGAAAAATCGACTTTTCATAAAATGCAAAAAGTCGAAAAGTCGACTTTTAACTAAATGAAAAAGTCGAAAAGTCGACTTTTCCTTTCAACTATAGAACACTACATAGAATAGAAAATATACTAGATAAATTAAATATTAATATTCCTTATATATATATATATTCCTTAAAAAAAATTTTGTCAATTACAATTTATTTAGCATTATTGCTTTCAAATTGTCGAAATTTTTTATTTACAACTCAAAAATTCTGCCCAACACTAATCAGCTGTTTAATTATCAACACTGCTCTCTATTTACATTTGATCTATTTCCTTTATTTTACTCATTCTTCATTTGTTGACGTTTTCGTATCAAAACAAAATAAAAGAAAAACAAATTCCAGCTGTTTTTTCCCAACCATATGGTTTTGACAGCAACAATTTCAATCAAAAGAAAACGTCAAAATTTTGCAATAAGAAAAAAAAACGAAATAAGAAGAAGTAAAGATGGCTACATTTTTGTGCAGTTTTTTTGTTTGAGTGAAAGAAATTGTGAAAAATAAATTAAAAGTGCAGATTTTCTACAATTAAATTAATGCTATTTAATATAAACAAATAATAGCCATTAAGTGCTATTGAATTTAACAAGAAAATAAGCAAACAAAAAGTAAAAAGTACATGTGTGAGCATTTATAAAAAGAAAAAATTAAATTCAATAAAAAAACATGGACAATTTTGATATGTCTGCCGCAGGCGACGATGGTCAGACAGAGGATAAATTGGGTAAGTTTTCCAAAAAGGCTTTGCAGTTTTATGAGACTCCATAATTGTACTAATATTTACAAACTATTAAAAAGTTTTTCAAGGGGGCGTTGTTCTTCTTCAATGTATTTTTCTTGATTGTCTCTGGCTGAACTAAACTAAAATCTAGTGTACAACCATTCATTCAGTCCAAATCATTGACCTCATTTTTCTTTGTTTCTTCTATTCTTTCGAAATATGTATGCGGCAGCTTTATTTAGTTTGCATTTTAATTTAATAAGAATTGAAAATCTTGTTTTCGTCAAAATTATTGGTTACAAACCAATGATTTTACCATTGTTGTGTATTTGTCTGTCTATCTGTATCATTCGCTATAGAAAAGAAAGGGCCTTCGGGTGATTCATTGCACTTTTGTGTTCAAATCATTTTCTTAGTAGCGGGTTTTGATTATTGTAAACAAATAGATTGCGGTGGGGAAGTTAGCTAACAAGTATATTTTAATAATTTAAAAACTTAATTAGTAGTATTTTATAACAGATTTGGCAATAGAAATTCATCTTTTAGTGGATCATTTTCGTTTGTTATTTGTTACTTCACTCCAGAATTATGAGGAACAGAGCGCAGTATTACTTTCGTAATACTTGCAAGAATTTAATATCTTGATCAACTTCTGATCAACTTCTGGATTAATGAAGTACAAAAGCAATTGAACTCGGTTGAATGAAAACATTCATCAGTCATCTTTGCACATCACCTTAATTAATTAGAGTTTTAAATCAAACTAATTTCCTAAAAGCTCATGCTGACAGTTTTTGGCTTAGAGTATACAATTGTAGTGATGTGTGAACCAATTAGTCGCCATCGCTTTGATCTAAATAGCGAGTGTTTTTCAAATCTAACAAATAAATGCATTCCGCATCATAAATAAACGTATCTGTGCAGATGACATATTTGAATTGTTAAAATGAAAAGACCGGGAAGATCTCTGGCAAGCAAAAAGGACCTAATGTCTTTCTAGCCAGACAGGAAAGATCTGAGTAAAAACTATTCTAATAGATACATTTTTACAGCATCCTGAAATTTTGCTTAGTGAGAAATCCTTACGGCCGGTGCATAGCTGTCCAAGATGTTCCAAAAACTTAAGCTTCAATGATTTACGTTTGAGACTAACAGAGATGGCTCAATTCTATCACAACTACTTATTGGCGAATTTCACCTGGAAATTTTATTCTAGTGTTATTTTTACTCATCTGAAGACGGCCGATTGTTTCCATTTTCAACTAAAAGTTTTTGGTCAGGAAAGATCTGAGTAAAAATTATTGTAAGAGATGAACTGTTACAGCACCCTGAAATATAGTGATAAATCCTTATAGTCGGAGCATAACTTTCCCAAGATGTTCCAAAAACTTAAGCTTCAATAATTTACGTTTGAGACTGACAGAGATGGCCGATTGTTTCCATTTTCAACTAAAAGTTTTTGGTCAGGAAAGATCTGAGTAAAAACTATTGTAACAGATGAACTGTTACAGCAACCTGAAATTTTGCTTAGTGAGAAATCCTTATGGTCGGAGCATAATTGTCCCAAGATGTTCCAAAAACTTAGGCTTCAATGATTTACATTTGAGACTAACAGAGATGGCTTAATTCTACCACAACTACTTATTGGCGAATTTCACCGAATTTTATTCTAGTGTTATTTTTAAAAAATTACAAATTATCATTTCTAAGGAGTCAATGTTCATTTGAAAACCATGATAATTATTACTAAGAAATAAAATGAGAAAATAACTTCCGAAAACCATGTTTAGCATTTCTTTGCTTACTTGGCCAATGTGCGAAATATTAAAAAAAAAATAGATACCTTGTACCGGGCAGATTCATTAAACGAGTTCAAGATTAATTCAGGGGTACCGCAAGGCTCCATTTTTTTCCCTACCCTATTTTTTATCTTCATAAATGATCTTCTATGTTAAACTTCTAATTGTATGCACTCTTTTGCCGATGTCAGCAATATCTGCCATTCTTATTCATTAAATTATAGGCCAAGCCCTCAAGACATTGAGGCTATGAAGCGCAATATGGATGAATCGTTTAATCACAACTTGATTAAAATCTCTGAATGGACTCGTGTTAACACCCGCAACACTAAATGTTCTTTTCTAGCATATAAATAGCATGGCAGATAATGTTGGTCGAACTGTATGTAAATATTAAGTTATCGGAAACTCTTGATGTTCTGGGCATGAAAATGCAGTACGATGTCCGCTGGATTAAACACATTTTTCATGTGTCGAAAGAAGCATTCAAGTGACTCGGTTTTTTGAAAAGGTGTAAGGCCATCTGATATTCTTACAATTTACATTATTTATATCCGACTGAAAAAGGAATACAACTCTCACGTATGGGTCGCAGCTTCGACGTCTATTTTGGAGCTACTCGACCGCGTAAAAGAGAGAGCAGAAGTACTTATCGGTGACATTACGGTATCCAACTCTATAGATTCAATGGACCACTGTTGCAACGTGGGGTGTATTTCACTGTTCTATCGATACTATAATGGAATG